TTTTTTTTTCTGGCGTTGCCAGATAACGGCCCAGAAAGATGCACCAAATGTCACCTTATTGTATTTGTGTTTATGAAATAGTTACTAATTAATAGTTAATAATGAAAACGGTTCAGAACTAAGGAACATTTTATTGCAAAAGCCCAACTTTATGATCAAAGACAAATCCACATCGATGAAAAATAAATCAAAATACTCTGTGGTATTTTCAGGGGGCCGGACCAAATGCGGAGGCGGGCCGGATCCGGCCCGCGGGCCGTAGTTTGGGGACAGCTGATCTGCGGGCTCTTGGCTTGCTGAGGTCCGCGGGCCGGTTCTAATAATAAATCAATATCATCCCAGGGGCCACTGAAAACATTCTCACGGGCCGGATTTGGCCCGCGGGCCGGCACTTTGACATATGTGCCCAAAATGATACATTATGTTTTTACAAATATTGTCTCATTTTGAATTTTCATGCCTGCAACACATTCCAAAAAAGCTGGGAGTGGGGCACCAAAAGACTGGGAAACTTGGGGAATTCTCACTCAACGCCTGTTTGGAACATTCCACAGGTGAAAAAGTTAATTGGATATAGCCGATTGTCATAATTGGGTATAAAAAGAGCATTACCACAAGGCTCATTTGTTCACAAGCAAAGATGGGGTCAGGTTCACCACTTTGGGAACAATCGTGTGAGCAAACAGTCCGACGGTTTAAGAACAATTCTCAATGTACAATTGCAAGGACTTTATGTACGTAAACGGCAAGGCCGAAACCCAACATTGAATGCCGGGCTTGTTTTTCCTCAGGTGCGGTGGTTTCTTAAAAATCAAATTAGATGTCCAAAATCAGGCCAGGGAGGGATGATTTTTTTATTTCACAGAACAGTTTACCAATGTACTAATGTCAGGTTTATACTGACAGTTTTAGCAAACAGGTGGGCACTTTACAAAATTTTGCCGATCCATCATTCGGCACCAGTCCGTCATCTTCAGTCCGTCAATTTTTTTCAACCCAAACCAACCTGTAATCATCAGTCAGTCATGTGATATTAACCATGCTTCTATCATTGCTTCTGTCTCTAAATTTCACCGGTCCGCCTGTCCCTCCATCAACTGCGACTCAGTCAGTCCCTCAATAAGTTACTCCCGCAAAAGATTAAAAATGCAATCTGATTAAAATGGTATATGGAATGCACTGTAAGTGTACGATACCGACATCACACAACGATTGCCCAAAGAGCTAAACACACGCACACACACACACACACACACACACACACACACACACACACACACACACACACACACACACACACACACGCACACACACACACACACACACAAACTTCTTTTTCTTCTTTTCACCTTCATCTGATTCATTGGCAAATACAGTTCTTTGGTGCATACCGCCACCTAGTGTACAGGAAGCGCAATTGTGTTTCCATATATAGTCAATAGAAGCAACACTGCTCATATTCAATTCAGCACCGCAAAATAGTACAAAGATTGTAGATTTGTTTTGTCATAGCAAAGTAAAGTGACATCATCTGGTTCTGCTACCTTAGCCAATCACAACTGGCCATTGCGGTCCCCGCAGAGATCCTATTTAACACAGGAGCACTCAGTCTCACACATATAGTCCTTTTGCACATAAAAAACTCGGTGCTCATTCGCCGCCAGTGTTGTGCTTAGTAGGTACTGAACACATTCTTACGAAGAACATGTTTGACTTTCCACCAGCAAAGAGCCAAGTAGGAGCTATGACATTATGTCATTGTAAAGCGTCCAAAAGTCACTGCTTACTTCGATGTTTACCTCAGACCGCCTGCGCTATTAATAATAATACTGCACTTTTGGCATCTGCTCGACAACTTAGCACAGCATCGATTATACTTGTCTTGTACAAAGTATATAACAGTCATGGACATGCAATCAGCAAATGCTTAGATCTTTCTTAATCATTGTAGATGATCACGAGGCTGGTTGTGAGTAGGAAATCGCATGCTATCTGGGCACATCCGCAATCACTCTTCTGGTGGGACACAATTAGGCCGGAGTTCACAACTCAGCAGTTTGGGCAAAACTTCCGTGTGTCCAGGGAGTCATTCCCCCACATCTGCGATCGTCATGATAACCCTGCCCCCTCACATAGTTGGTGCCAAAGTCTGGCCCAGCAAATAATTGCATCAGAGCTTGAGCCACTTTCGGAGGTGGAAAAAGAAAGAACTGGTGCTAACCTGAGCACTGGCCAGTAACTAACACTAGCACAAGTGCGGTGGAAAAGGGCCAATATGTAATAAATGCAGTCCTTTCTAAGAAGTTCCCACGATCAAGTCCATGAGACACACGTGGCGTGTATCGTCACTCGTCAGCAAAACGGGCATCCGTCAGTGACAGACTGACAGACTTTAGGTCAGTACTGACAAAATGCCCCCCTGTGTTGGCAAACGTAACAAAAAGTGATGTTTTGGGGCTACTCTAAGAAACAGCTGAATAATAACAAAAACATGTAGGTCATCCAGAAATGGTTACTGTTACGTTGATGTCATTTGTGGCTATTTCTTTTCTTCTTTTAGAAAACAAAGTCACTGACCTGGCCCGAAAAATTGAGAGTCAGATTGCAAATAAAGCGACAAAGAAACCGGTCGGGGGCGTGAGCATTTTGCCAAAGACCAATGATGAGGTTCAGGAATTTTTGGTGAGACTGACGGTGAAGACAAATATTGGGTAATTGATGATTTAGAGAGCGTTAATGTTGAAATATGTGCACAGTCCTCAGATCTGGAGGAGAGCAGCGAAGATGGCGATTCCTCTTTTGAGGAAGGACGAGGAAAGTTGAAACCACCTCGCAACTCTGGAACAACAATGAGGAGCCAGGACTCAGTTAGCACGAGTGTGTGGGACTCCTCCACAGGAAAAGACACTTCCATGGGAAAGGCTCCCAGATCAGGTCAGTACCTGCCCGAGAAATAATAAATACCTTTGTGTACGAGCAGCAGTGACGTAGTGGTTGAAAATGAAATGAAAAGCAGACATTGCTTTTGTTTGATCATTTTAAAAAACAAATTCATGAAATTTGGTTGCACAACCTTTATTTTAGAGTTAATCACTGCATTTATCGGTTTTTCGAACTCTCAGTGAGACTTCTGCACCCACTTAGCAGGTAGTTTGGCAGAGTTTTCATGAGCAAACTCTCTACTTGTAGTTCAGTCAGTAACGTAACAACATTGAGGTTGGATGCTAGACTGACCAAACTGACCTGGAAGTGCAGATCTCGCAACACTTTTGCGTTATCTCGCAAGCGTTGTTTTCTTATGTCCCCTGACGGGCTCGATACTGGAACAGATGAATGGCATTCGAGTGAATTTCAATGGAGAAAATTCATGTCATATATGACTAAATTCACTTTCGAGCTTGGTAACGGAACAAATTCAACTGCCTTATGCCTGCACGGTCTGTCTTTATGATAAACACGGCAATGTTTATTCAGTCACCCAAACTAAAGAGCAAAACATGTTTTGTTGTCCTGTGCGTGTCAGGTTTGACTGAAGCTGGAACTGGGAGCACCTTGAAGAGCAGTCTGTGTTACCTCAGCGACATCTGTGACTCAGAGGATTTTAACAATTAGCACAAATTACACTCCTGCTCATCAGACAGTGGAAAAGCTTCTGGTAGACTGCAGAAGCAGCCGCAAACAAGAAACACGCCCCCTTGTGTAGGCTATAGCCACACCTACATCAGCGGGCAAACAAAACCTAGAACCTCAAGTCCATACATGGAAAACGAACTCAGCAAAACTGTATATGTTAGCAAGGCGTAGCATTTTCAATATCACCTCATCCCCGTGTAAACTCTTTTGTATATATTTTCCAATGTTCACTTTCAGATTTTCATATATCTGGTACACATTCAGTGCTGAGCAAAATTATTAAACCACGTGTCATAAAATATCAGGAGAAAAGCAATATTTTAGAAATCTCTCAAAAGTATGTTTACAGTGAAAACTATGATTTGATTTTCTTTTTCAAACAGGAATGAGTCGTTTAGTGACATTCAACCACTCAAGCTATTTAGTTCTGCTCAAGAACAAATACTAATGTGCGTTTCTGGTTTTTTCGCTTTCTTTGCATAAAGCTAAGTTTCAGCTTATTCGTGTATAACTTTTTTGTAATATTCTATCATTAATAATTATTTGTAATGATATCGATGATATTATGAAACATCCAAGTTACAGAGCTTCTGCATACTGATAAACCATTACAAACAAATATTTATCCCGTAAATACCTCACACTGGGCAATGTGTGGTGGTGTAATACAGTTGTTGAGCACTTTGTGTGACATCACTTGTTTATCATTCTTTATTAAATTAGTATTTTTCTATAGAAAAGTATTTTTACAATATGCATCGATCGACTGAGGAGTACATGTCTGTTAAGAAACCTAAAACTGTTACAAGAACTTTGGCTGTTGTTTTTCATGTACCTTCCATCTGCCATGTTTTCTTGGCGCAAAGGCAAAACGTGTTTGAATTCTCTGATTGTTTGTTCCCCTTGTCTGTGCAGCTGAATTTCCAACAAAGTTCAATGTTCCCAAGCAGCTTGTGTTCTCACATAAAGATCCTTTTGGAAGGAATTGTTACATTGTGGGGAAGACAGTTTATTTATTGAGCACTTATCAAATCAACCGCATCTGAAATAAAGTGCTGGACATAAAAAGAAATAAATAATTGTAAAAGAGAAAACAAAAGTGCTCCTAATATTAGGAACAATAATACCAACAATATTCCTTTGTAAGAAAAATATAAAAGTCAAATCTTGAAAGCTTAATACCAGTCAGCGACATCAAAATCCTGCTGCAGTGCCCTCTGCGTGCCTTTTGTCATCATGCTTTCCCCAAGGACACTAAAATAATCTACGACTACCCGTACTCCTTAAAAATGCAAGGAGAGCTGGTCTTGGCCCTTCCAAACCACTAAGTGGCGCTATAGATACATCACGTGAAATTTCAACACCGATCTGTTGCTCTTACTGCAAAAAAGCCCACCAACAAACCACTTCAGCATCATAAAAATTATCTTGGCGAGCTAGGCTTGACATAGAACGGTGACGTGAATGTGGTTATGAGAGTTTGTGTGTGCAACGGTGCATGTGTGCAACACTGATCAGATCAAATCAATAAAGGCCTCTTTGGCCTATTTTACAAGGGGAAGGAAGATGGTGAGACTAACGAAGCGACTGCTAACCTGAACATGCATATACAGGTCACAGCAGGTTTCCACAAAGAGCCGATGGGGCAAAGGAACCGGCTGTGTTTGTTTTGCAGCAACCATGTCCAGACGGAACAAAATGAAGGCTTGTAGGTGTTGCTGGAGCTTGGCGATGTTGACGATTGGCCAATGCCTGCACATCTTTTTGTTTTGCTTGCTGCATAGCTGCAGGAAAAGGAAAATTTCCTTGGTGAGGCAAAATAAACAAAAAAAACAAAATTGAGCTTCCCACGCACTTGCGCAATGTTGGAGACAGATAGATGTTTTCGTTTCTGCGTTTACCCGCAACAAGACCTTCGCGAAGATGTCCCCGAGAAGAGAAACAATGTCCTCATTTTGATTTCAGAAGTCAGGAGCCAGAAGTCTCGGAAAGCAAAGAGAACAGAAAGTCAGCTCATCCTGGATAACATGCAACCCCTGCCCTCTTTTGTGAAGAGCCTCATCGCCTTGCAATGGCAAATAGGAGCTGTTTACGCAGAGAACCATCTGCAGCAAGCCTGGTCCGACAGGTTCAGACCCAGGTTGAAGGTCAGGAGGGGGATGAGGAGGACCAGTGGCCACAGCCAGGTCCCTCCGAAAAGCACAGGCGGATTTGGAACGATGACCTCAGGACTGTGATGCGCTTACTAATCAGCCACGGTGCCGCTGAAAATTCAATTGTTCAGTTGTCAATCTTTTGCGTTCCGATACAGCTGAGGTTTGGGCCTTTTTGTTGTTTACAGTTGAACTGTTTTAAATAAATTGTAATTGCAGTGCATCGAAATCGGTGTTGTTATAAATTGACCTGGAACAAGACGACAGTAAATATTACACTTGCTGTCTTTATTAAAAATTATGCTTAAGCATTCAACATTTAATAATGTTTTCTATGATTTGAATTTATTGAAAAGATTTCAAGAGTTGAAAGCGGTGTGACCCAAAAAAAAATTGGAATCGGAAAATCAAAAGATGCGAGTGCATCAAATGAAATCAATCCAAAGGAAATGGTTCAATATAAGAATATAGTGAGATGCATATAAAATCGTGTTTTATTGGAGAGATATCAAGTTGAAGCAAATGCCACAGCATTAACTAGTTCAGATGTGAGGCAAATGCAAAGAAACTCACTGCATCACACCCTCTCGAACTGAGCACCATATCGCCTCGAATCCCACAAATCAAATTGAATCAAATTGTTCCACTTTAAAATCGAACTGTCCTTGGCCCGTACCACATCCCATGTATCATGATACAGTATGTATCAAATCATCTCTTGTTGGAGGGAGGTACACCCCTCGTTGAGATTAAAAAAAAAATGTGTGGAGTTTGCATGTTCTCCCCGGGCCTGCGTGGGTTTTCTCCGGGTACTCCGGTTTCCTCAAAACATGCATGGCAGGTTGATTGAACACTCTAAATTGTCCCTAGGTGTGAGTGTGGGCGTGTATGGTTGTTCGTCTCTGTGTGCCCTGCGATTGGCTGGCAACCGATTCAGGGTGTCCCCCGCCTACTGCCCGAAGACAGCTGGGATAGGCTCCAGCACCCCCCGCGACCCTTGTGAGGATAAAGCGGATCGGAAAATGGATGGATGAATGAATAAATCATACACTTGGCTACGTATTTAAGACAAAGGCATAGATATACTTTTGGGAATCCCACACTGAGTAAAATCTTCAGGAAGAGACATTAGCAGTCTCTCAAGGTCATGCCAAAACACCAAGGGCGGTCAAAGCCTGGTTCATTTTAGCCAATCAGAAGGCTGGAGAATCTCATTTCCAGATAATGCTCAAAAACAAAATGCTGATTATAAATCCTTCAACAATAAGATGTGTTAAAATAAAGGATGACACTTTCATGAGAGAAGTAAACTTTTTTCTTTTTTTCAAACACAGTGACTAAAGTGACATTTAGCTAGTTATTTCCAGTGTTTATCAAAAAAAAAAATGGCAACCTTTTCTCAATGCAAGTCCGCTTTTTGAGAATCCCCCCTTTTGCTCAGACAAAGTCATCCCTGCTGAAGGTGCCCGTCGTCTTTGTTGCTGCTCTGCTTGGTCGACTCTTCCTCTCCTCATAAAACAGCGGTGGTCCCAGACTGACTCTGGATGTGGTGGGTGGGAGCATGTACGTCTTTCGAGTGCGGGCGGTGGCGTAAGTGGCTGGTCTCCGTGGTCGGTTTGATGAACTGTGCACGACCAGAATTGAGAAATTATTCTATTCGCAAAAAAACTTTTTTTTTAATTGGACATTTTGGTAAAAGCATTTTTTTTTTTACCCTGACGGAAGACCTTCTTTTCCAGAGAAGTAACTCAGCACAGTCCCACCAGAGAGCAAAAGGATGGAGCCCCCCCAGCCAATGAAAACTGCAGCTCCAAGCTCAAATCTGAGTATTGACATGAATGAATACATTATGTTTGACCTTTGCCGAGCCTCCACAAATGTATTCATCTTTCTCCTCAGAAAAACTGCACTCACTTTTGCGCCCTGAAATTTGGGTCGAGGAATTCTGTGATGACTCTGTTCGCCCACCAGGAGTAAGTGATCATACCACAGAAGCCTAGCACAAAGATGTCCAGTGTGTTTTGTTTTGTACGAGCCAGTCGTCTTTTGACTGTTGAGCAAAAGTCAAACTTACCCGAGGCGAGGTAGGTGATTCCGCCTGCGAAGGTCACTCTTGCGTTGGCAACCTCGGATCCGCCTATTTTCGTGCACTTCATGCCAATGAGAGTCAGAACGCCGCCAAAGAAGCCAGTGATGACCGCGCAGACCGCCAATGCTCGACAGGCATGCAGGAACCCTGCATTGAAACATGTGATATGCCGCATGACGAGGGATGAGTATCGTTAACATTTTAACGATACTTGAGCTACGACGCTTAAACGATACCGCTTATCGATCCGGTGCTTTGACCCGGTGCTTTGACTGTATTCTTAACTGTTTAGAAAAACGTTAAAACAAAATTAAAATTGACAACAGTTTTTTTTTATTTGTCTTGCAACAAAGACATGAATGTAAAGTAAAGGTAGAAAGTATAAAAACAACAATAATTAAAAAAAATGTAAAACAAAAAAAAACCCAAACAACAACAACAAAAAAATAAAAAACGCATGTAGGACACTAAGGCTGGAAAAACACGTTTTGAGTTGAGATGCGCATTTCCTGTTCGTCAACTTGCTTGTGTTCCGTTTCGGATGTTGATTGCGCTTGTGGCACGCGGACGTTTGTAGTTGTGATATTTTCCCTCCGTCCGTTTCCTGGCATAAGCACTCAAACCAAAAATAACCAACCTTTCATATTGTAGCAATTACATTGTGCCGGGATTGTCCTGTGATGATTGCAGGGTAGATTTACGCAATTTGGAGGTAATTAAAAGGACCCAGTTTGCTCTTTTGTGTGTGTGTGTGTGTGTGCGTGCGTGCGTGCGTGCGTGCGTGCGTGTAAGAAACAAAAAACATTTTCCTGATATCTTATCAAAGTGTAGTGCCCCAGGAGTAATATTGTAACATCCATACTGTGCTAGTTCGTTACTAAAGTAGAGGTTATGGAAAAATATCAAACATAATCTGTCAGAGGAGACGTAGTTATGTTTAAGTATATTCAGAAATTGTCAATCCCGGTTTATCTTGAGCCAATCCTGATTTTAAATGTGGCATCAATTGAATGTGGTTAATCATTACATTTCGGAATAAAACTGGTCAACAACTGTTAATAATGTTTTTTTAATCAAACATGCAAGTAAACTTTTCTCAATTAATGTTTTGCATTGTTTCCTATGCTGTCCTCATTTTTTTTCTCTAGCGCCTCAGATTTTAATAATAATCATAATAATATAGTAACAATAATCACGTCATAGCTATAAATGACAAATTATGACAACTTGATATGCACCGTACTAAAGAAAGCGAGGAAGGACATTTTTGAAATCAGCTTTAGGGACACATAGGAGTTAGAATTGGAGCCTAATATTTCCTTCAGGTTCTTGACAGATACGTGATGTCGTACCGGGCAGGGCCAGCATGGAGGGGTAGTCTTTGCAGTCGGACACCCCCGTGGTGTCTGAGATGCAGTCCCTCCACAGGTTGGAGTAGTAGTTGGAGGTGGTCATCACAATGCTGCCCACCTCAGAGAAGGTCCAGTACTCTGTGGGAAGGGTGGAGCACACCAGGATCCAGCCACAAAGGCAGGACACAAAGCAGCCAATTTCTGTGTACATCACCACCGTCCTGTACTTCATGGTGAGTGTCAACTCTTAAAACGAAGACCAAAATTGAAGTTTCTCTCTGTAGCTCCCCTCCCGTCTATGGCACTGCTGGTCTCAAGCTGTGACTACAGTTTGTTTTGCGTCTTATCTTTTTGGACGGTTTTGCCCAGTCAGCATCCTTCACTTTCCCAGAGCCCAAGTCCCCTGACGAGGGCTACTGAAGTCATCTTTTGTTTGCCCGCATGTGGGACTTATGAGACAAACTGGACTAACCAGAGTAAGGAGGATGCTCTCACAGTTTGGAAAGTCAAACACACACCGCTGAGTTGCGCATCAGCTTTTTTGGGGTGAGCTGTAGCCTATCCCAGCTGACTTTGAATGAAATGTAAATTATTTAAAGTGAAACTCAGCTCAAAATGTTTCTTGGCTGACAACCAGTACAGGGTGCACCTCACCTGCTGCCTCAAAAGAGCTGGGATAGGCTCCAGCACGTCCATGACCCTCGTGAGGATAAGTAAGCACATCAAATAATGGATGGATGGATGGATGAATATGGTCCATACACCCACACTTGTCAAAACACATTAATCTGATTTATGTTGTATTTGTGGAACATAAATTAAGCAGAAAGATACATACGTTTTTATCCACCCGAGGCACAAAAAAGGTGGGTTCGCATCGCAATTTCCGAGTCACAATTCACATTTTGCACCTCATATAAACACATTGTAAAGCAAAACACACAACACGCTTATGCCACATTCATGCAGAAAGTTTGAGGCGGGAGTGGAGCTTTTCGGTTGTGATGATGGCAAAAGTGTGGTAGCATTTCTGAACGCAATGCGAGCACCGTGGTGTAAAACTGCTGTAATATGCACCCTGCTCTCCATTGAAGATGCCCAGTGAGAAGCCGTGTAGGACTCAAAACGAGGTAAACTTAACGTGATGTAAATTTGTTTGGTTCATGTGAATGTACCTTACTAAGATATCATCAAACCTGTGAAGGGCTACTTCTGTGTTAATTATGACTACCAGCAAATTTGTGAGTTGCTTATGATTTAGGTGAGAAATAGATTATATGTCCGCGAGTCGTGACCATAATTACGCCTTGCAAGGTGCATAGAAATTTGGCTCCATGTCGACATGGCCACAGTAGTATTCCATCCATTTTCGAATCTGCTTCTCCTCACAGGGGTTGTGGGCCTGCTGGAGCCTATTGCAGCCATCTTCGAGCAGTAGGCGGGGGACACCCTGATCTGGTCACCAGCCAATTGCAGTGTAGTATTCCAAGTGGCGAGGTGTTGAAGGGTTTTGGTGAAGTAAAATGAAGAAAATATTTGTTTCCTCCTGAGGTGTCTTCATTTTGTCTTATTCCTTGTCAGCTGGTTTCAGAACCACATAGCAAGGAACCTGCTGTATTATCCATCCATCCATTTTTAACAGCACTTATCCTGAACAGGGTTGCTGGGGGTGGGGCCAGAGCCTAACCCAGTTGACTTCAGGTGAAGGCGTTGACACCCTGAACTCGTGGGCAGTCAGTGGCAGGGCACATAAAGAGACGAACAACCATTCACACCCACATCCACACACCACTGAGTGGGAACCGCTACACCATCAGCGGCCCTGCTGTATTATGTCACTTGCTCCTCAAATTAAGTTACGCAATAGGATGTCAAAATGGCATCCCCTGGAGACGGCAAGACTGGAAATAACTTTTTTATTTCTTTGAAGAGCATTTTTGCTTAAGGGCTTAGCTTGCCAACGTCACATGACGAAACTCGGAAAACAAAGGTGGCGTGACGGTCACTACCTGAGCCCTGAGGCACTGTGATGTCATTTTCATGTGACCATCTAGCCACCACTTGGGTCCCCAAACCACTGAAAGATTCTCCCACTTAATGCTCTCTGTCAATCAATATTAAGCTTCTCTTGTTGTGCTGATAGGGTTGTGTTTTTGGCTCCATCCTATGTTACGTTACAATGCCATCCAACAGCAGTTTGTGACCAAGCTGATGTCTAGATGCCAGGCTTTTGTGGCACTGTATGCCTCTTCCACACTAGTGAGGCTTCTGATCGTTAAAAGAATAAATTGATAAATTGCCAGTATGTGTTGTTGTCAGACTTCAATCATAAAATCCATTGAATACCAAAACGAGTCAATAACAACAGCAAAAGAAGCTTTTTGGTTTTGTTAGAGAAAATTTGACAATTTTTTCATGAGCACAATCCACATACTCAGCCTGGCCCTGCTGTTCACCCCATTCAGTAAATATATCTTACCGACAAATGTTGCGCCCTTCAAGAGGAAGATAAACACGCGTCAATGCTTTCAAACAGTATAAAATTTATTGCTCAAAGCATTATTACAACAGCAAAAAAAAAAAAACCCCAAACACAAAATTCTTTGCGTTTGTGATTTTTTTTGTGTGTGTTTGGAATGTGGGAGGAAGCCGGAATACACATAGAAACCTCACCAAAGTGCTTGCGGGCCCCATGAAGAGTGGCCCAAGCAGATTCGAACATGGATACTTTTGACTGCAAAGCAGACATGCTAACCGCACCCACCAACATGACTAACAACAGATTAAACGATTAAAATGGCCTCCTTGACTTCTGACATTCATAATATTGTTGTATTTTGATATTTGACTCGTGTCTATCATTTTGTTTACTCTATTTAGCTGCATGAGAGATAAAAGGACTAAATGTTTGAAACAGCTCTCGAGTGCAATTCTACAATGCAAACTCCAACCTCAATCATAAACACAAAGACCCACAATTGTCCTTAGCTTTGTATGACTGTGAGGAAGTAAGCTAGGGCTCTCTCCCTGACCTGTGACCTTGCAATGGGAAAGCAGGATAGAAATCGCTTGTGGGGATGTCTAAAAGGCTTCATGGATTCTCCAGGTTCTGTTTGAATGTGATGTTTTCCTGAATGAGCTGCACAGTAAGCCTGTCTGTCACGTCAGGTCGCGAGCTGTGCGAGTTGTAGGACTGTAGGTTAGTCCTGCTCTTGACAAAGTCCCAAATGATGGTCTCAGTTTAGTGTGGGATATGATGAGATTTTTCTTCCAGTTGGTCTATAATTCAAGGAACTCTGGATTTATTCTTAAGACAAGTCAAAAGAGCACAACTGCATGGACAGCAGTACTTCACTGTATTATTTGTTTGTGGAAATAGTGGATGCATTGCACACAATCAGGAGTCAAGTATTGTAAAACAGACCATACATTCAAACCAGTGGCAGACGCTGGTCTGTCAAGGAGGGGAAGCTCAATTTTGGCCTACATCATAAAATGTGTCCGTTTATTTTGTACGTGAATTCTACTCTCCGTTCCTTTTCAAGAAAATGATCTGTGACCCTGTGGTGATATAAGTCAGTCTGCGAACACAAAAGCAACTACAATAAAGCCCACCAGAAATAAAAGATTAATTTGTCGCTAGTCACTTTCAACAACGAGAGTGTTGCTAAAATGATTAGAAGAAGTCTCCAGTTCAACTCAGAACAGAATGAGAATTGAAAAATGCTCCCACGGATGCCTACACCAAAAGATCGGTGATTGGCTCATTTCGCTGTCAATCAAAAAGAGATTCAGCCTCAGACAGATCATCCAATCATCATGCAGAAAAGCTCAGCGTCCGGGACAGCCCATAAACGCCCACTGTCCATAGACTGCCAGAGACGCTGAGCGTCCGGTGGGCGGGACAAAACCAGCATTTATCCAATGACTCGCCTCATTTCAATGCATTGGGACAATGGGCTCTGAACTCTCGAGACGCCCAGATTCCGCGCTGTAGACGCTCAGCGTCCACACAGTTCAAAGCACAGTGAAGCTGCGGGAATGAATGAGAAGAGAGTTGCGTCGTAACCAGTCGTAAGAAGCTGATTCAGAACAAAAGTTGAGCGCGTTGTTGTGCATATTTAGTCAATGACATGTACACACAATTGTATGTACACACCTATTTGATCACTTATTTTTTGACATTATAGGGAAAGGTGAGCTTCCCTTGCAGTCTTAGAGCAATCGCCTCTGATTCAAACCATCCATTTTTCTGCTAACACTGACAGTTCATATTTATTCCAGGCCACAAAACACAATAGAGTCCTACTCCTCATGATTTGGAACTGAAGGCACCTCCTTGGCACCAGTTTTAGTATTACATAGACTACACCGTGCAGGCTCAGAATACCGCAGTTTCTGAAATATAACTGCAAATTAGTTTTTTGTCAGGGTGGAGTATAAAATGTTCGAAAAGATATGTATGTTCATCTCCTAAATATAGTATAACCTTTATTTATTTCGCTTACATTCTATAAACCTCTCCAAACGTCATCATACTTGGTACAAGCCTTAACTTGGTCTTGCCGCAGTCTTTGTCTTGACAAGCACTCAAATTGTTGGACCTGGTTCAGGGGTCTTAACTGCAACACTGCCATGTACCTTGGATCCATTAAACATAACAAACAGCTTTTGTCCCAAGACTCTTAACAGCCTAAAGTGCAGCACCATGCTGGTCTTCTGGAGTCCTTTGTACAAGTCTGTGTCACTCAAATGTAGGAGTTCTTAAGGAAAGATACTGCCTGACTCCTCGAGCTGCCAGACAACGATGACACACGACTACTGATGATGCTACGCGACCCTGACGCTGTTGATGAGCTGTATCTGGACAAGAGGCCAGACTCTGAAGCTGACCCTGACCCGACAGAAGCATTAGTTCGCTTTGTGTTCGACCCGCGCTCTGATTCGGCGGAGCCTCCAGATGTCGATCCTGAGGAGATGGCGGACAAGTTTGAACGCTCTGATGACAGCCCGGACACAGAGGACGCTTTAATCCTGGAGGTGATTCCAGACACCGAGGACAGTTCTGTGGTGGACTTGGTTTTGATGTCTTTTTCCACATCTGGTAATTGTCGGATAATCACTCTGCATGGAAAGAGAGACAGTGTTTCTTTGTTTTGTTTTTTTATTGCTCTCTCTCTCTCTCTCTCTCTCTCTCTCTCTCTCTCTCTCTCTCTCTCTCTCTCTCTCTCTCTCTCTCTCTCTCTCTATCTCTCTCTCTCTCTGCCTATTCGTAGCTGCTGTATCTATATATATATATCTTTGTATTGCTATACATCTACTGTGTCTGTGTTTACCTGTATGAGTGTGTATCTGAGTCTCGTTTTTATGCTTAATTTTATGACACCCCCAAATAACTGTAAACGTGCCCATGATGTGAGGTGTTTTGGGAAAGTGTTGTCCATTCTTGACTCACGTGTGCTCTTGTCCACATAGTGGCCTGCACACCGACCATAGATAGAAGGTACCACCAGCCATTTGAAAGGCGGAGCCAACCCAGCCGAGGAAGAGTGGGGTGCCAAGGTCAAACCTAAGGTCGATGAGAGTTGGGATCAATGTTGAAAATCTGTTTTGACACATTTCTATTGCTCACTGTTGAAGAATGTACTTACTTAAGCCCATCAAAGTTTGGGTTGAAATATTCTACTGAGACGTATTGTGCATAAACGGCATATCCACTTGTGGACAGTAAACCTGCACACAGACAATGGAAATACCGTATTTTATCAATAGAATACAGTATTGTTTTTCAGAGGCACTGCGGGATGACAATTCTACTGACTCATGAGTGGCATCCTTCCGGTACTGTATTTTGCTTTACGGGACATGACAGTCAGATAACTGTGTGTTATGGTATTTTTGCAGTACACACCAGTTTAGATGTTAAATTTGCTATTTAATGATTATAAACAACAACAATGCATCCGACAACAATGACATGTGCTTGTGCTTCTACCTTTAGCCTATCACAAACGCATTCAGCAACATACATCCACCACAATTCGCCTATCTGTACTAGCTGCAAAAATTCAGCAGGTTAACGGATACCGCCAGCGGGCCATTTTGAGGGATTGATGGGGACACTGAGCAATATTGTAAAGTTTGACACATATCGGGCGTTCTCATCTTTTGTCTCTAATCTTGTATTCACCAAAACAGTGGGCCCGCAATGTTAATTTTAATGCAGGGCGATTAATAAAGAAGCAGAATGCCCTACCGTCACCACTAGTCAGAAAATACTTCTTTATACAGTTAAATGACATTTTGTTATTTTTAACCAAGCATTAACCCCCCAAAAAAGTACAATCAGGGACTGTTCTGACATTGGAACTTTACAGCAATCTACATTTTTGTGATGTCAAATTACACTTCTCTACTGTTGTTAACTGGTAGATTTAACCGTTAATGTACATACTATGGATTAGTATTTCACAGTATTTTACAATTATTACAAAAAAGTACCGTAGTAAGACACTGTTGTAAATTCCTTGTGGATTTACTGAAATTTGTTACAGTGTACTTAAATGTAAAAGCGTCATCAAAGTATGTTAATGAATAAAATGACTGTATTCATGACTAGAAATACATATTTCTCAGTTTTGACACTGTCAGAGTGGTATTCATTTTAAAACATTCAAAGTGGTCTCTATTTTTGTGTTTTTTCAGGAATGCAGCACCACATTACCACTAAATTATATTACTATTCGTGGGCCACTTTGGTTATCTCACAATGTACTGTACATGAATGTCACAATATTAGACATATATAGCTCTCAATTTTGCACCACTGCAAGCCACAACCACAATAATAAACGTTTTATTCAATTAGTTGAATACGACATGAAATTTGTAAAGCACAACCGTAGAACTCTATTATTGGATCTCATTGGATATGCTGGCGTGCCGAAGTTTTTAGCCAGCGTGTTTATTCCTCCAATCTAATCACATGAATTGTATTAAAATGAGACTATACCACTGATTATGTGGAAGCAACCGCCAGTGTAGATCTTCCTGTGTTTTGAGCGGTCTTTCCCCCCAATGAAGGTGCACTCCATGCCCAACAAGCTGAGCACAAAGGCCAGCATGCCCAGGGACAGAGCAGCCATCAGCAGACCTCGCACAATCTGAATGTGGCCTGGAGTCGTACAGCAAGACACAAAACTTAGCCAAGCAGGTGAGTTTGCCGTTTCTCAGACGGCTTGGTACCCACCCTCCACGGACCAGAGCACGGGGAAGTCGTAGCAGTTACTGACAGCTGTTGAATCTGTAAAGCAAGATCTCCACAGACTGGACCAGTACCAGGCCACCTTCAAGATGGAGGAGCCTCCCATGCCACCGACAGAGCTGATTTTCCAGCCCTCCATGGCCATAGTGCAAGCCACGAAGATCCAACCCAGGACTGTCATCAAAAAGCCCCAGATTTGAACCACTCGAATCCGCATCACCGGGCTTCTCCAAGAACAGTTTCCTTTGAAAGAGGTTGCTGCGCTCTATCCTTGATGATTTCCTTTGTGCACTTTCTTTTTGGCAACACTTGATTTCCTACTGCAGAAGATGAAGTTTTCATCCAAATAGCAACAACTGTTCATCTTTGGAAAGAGAAAGCCGAGTGGATCGCATGTACAAGGCAGGGCTATGCTGTTGTTGTTGTTCTGCAAGTTTTAACATGCGGGTGGGAGAGGAGGGTCCCTCTGGTTCCCATTGCTACAAGTGACAATTGCCAGATTAGTGCCCGGGCTGGGTGCTCGTCTAAGCATGCATCTCCAATTACCAAAAACTTGTTGCACTCCCTTGACTGCCAAGTCAGCAGATATGGTAGATTGCAAATATCGCTCGAGTATCTGTGGCTGATTAGCTAGGTTGGTGCGAATTTTAGCAACAACTGTGCACATTTGTTCCTTGATGACCTTAGCCTGTTCCAGTCAAGGCTACTCATGGAATCAGTCCGGAAGGCTGGTGATCAGTCATTCCACCGAAGTCTCACTGTGTCTGCGCTTCCATAATTAAAACACACTCCCATAATACCGAGCTGATGTCGCCAGTAATTAATACTCTGTCATCAACAATGAATTGGCCGGTGTGACTTTAATGGGCTTGAGGGCAACCCAGTGAAGCTTAGGTAACCTGAAATACCCGCAAGGACACCCAGTTACAGTATTTCATTCCGGATTTAGGCTCTATTTGAGGCAAAGTTAAAGAAACAGCATATAGCGGTTGAATGGTGTTATGTTCCCAAACCTCAGGGATGATGTACTGTGCATTCATGCTGCTCTCTGTGGCTGGTGTTCATTGATGCCATTGGTGAAATGTCATTGTGACTGTTGCCAGAAAGTTGCCAGTGTGGTGCCCACGGTGACACGATAACCTCACAGACGGTTGGCCATGCATATGTGTATGCGTGCATGTGTGCATGAGTCATTCTTTGTCAGAGCATTCATAGTCAGGGTTCATGAACTACAATTCACAGCAATCCAGAACTATGCCCAAATCTCATAATTCTTCATAATGCTAAATGTTCCTTTTTACTTAGCTTAGGTTTGATCCTGCTTGTGCCTATGCATGCGTGTGTGCGTGTTTGCGTGTGTGTATGTGTAAGTTTGGTATATTTGTGCATCAAACGATGATTGTGGATTGTAGGGCAAACAATGACCTCTCTTCCATATTTCCTTGCTCTGATGTGAAAGTAATTTTGTTTGATGTTGACTGCAAGATTCAAATGTTTTTTTTTTTATTTAAGAAAGATTCTTTGAGAGTTTTCATTCAGATCAGTTGGATATGTTTTCTTTATATATGCAGTTAATATGAATAATTTGTGGCAGAGCATCAAGGGGTCTACAAGTACTGCATCCATGTGAAAATGGCAGAAAAAAAAAATCACAGGAATCACACATTTCCCCTTGCTGTGGGGGCGTCCAGAGAGTCACAAGGGGTGGCCGGGTCCACCATATAGCTCCGCCTCTTTAATATTGCACACTTATTGGCCACTTCATTATTTGTAAAATCCGTGAAAATAAAACAAAATGACTGTAAATTAACAAATAAACATTCTGTTTTTACAAGATAGCACTTTGTTAATATTAACACTAAAGGGTTACCATTGGGTTTCCTAAATACAGATTTTCAAAGTTACACAACCATCCGTTTTTGTATCATTCTCTTGTTCAGAGTGACAGGGAGGCTTGAGATTAATCACAAGTCGGTCACAGCACTGTCAAACAGGGACAATAATTCACACTCAAATTTAGTTTACATTGGGTGTTCAATCAACCAAACATACCCTTGGGGAGAAGCTAAAACACCGACATGGCATGAACAACACACAAAAACACCCAATAGCACAGAATAGCAGCCATGTTGAAATTAGTGAACTACTGTTTGGACAGCAACTGAGTACTTGAAAACAATATAACTTACCGTACTTCAAGTGCAAAACCATCCATCCATTTTCTAATCTGCTTATCCTCACAAGGGTCGCGGGGGGTGCTGGAGCCTATCTCAGCTGTCTTCGGGCAGTAGGCGGGGTACACCCTGAACTGGTTGCCTGCCAATTGCAGGGCACACACAGACGAACAACCATCCGTGCTCACATTCACACCTCGGGACAATTTAGAGTGTTCCATGAATCTGCCATGCATGTTTTTGGAACACGGGAGGAAACCGGAGTGCCCGGAGAAAAACCACCCAGGCCTGGGGAGAACATGCAAACTCCACACAGGAAGGCCAGAACCGGAATCGAACCCTGCACCTCTGCATCGTGAGGCCCATGTGCTAACCAGTTGTCACCGTGCCGCCCCATACCTAAAACTAAAAGGTCCAAAATGCACAGTTGGACACAATTTTCTCCCAAAGTCAAGTTTTCTTTTCAATTGTAAAATAGCATGCTGACATTTCAAAACACAACATCACCTTTCTGGAATGCCGTGGACAACTGACACTGATGTTTATGAACGCAATGCAACGTGTTGGGCACAGCCTGCGGTTCCTCCTGATGATTATTCAGAGGTGCAGATTGATGGCTGATTAGTCGAGTCTGCAGATTCTCTGTAGCCTCAGATGTGACCCGATGGTCCATGGAGGTCAGATCATTGTAGGCATGAGAGGCCCTCATGTGACCCATCTTTCCGCTTTGATAATATTAAAAGAAGCTCACCTATGAAGCGTAAACTGCCGGCACCAGGAGAGGGGCTTTGAATGAAAACTGTGCTTTATTTTCAAAGTCATGACCCCACATTTCAGTACAAACAATGAGGGTTCATCAAGAATGTGAGGCAAGTGTAAAGGCCAGCGCTTTATTAAAAGTGACCTCGAGTTCAAATGCTGATTTGTGCCAAATTAAATTGCTTGCCTGAAACAAAAAGAAGAAGAATCTGGCACATTTTAAGAATCCTCTCTTCCAGTATTTCTCTTTCAAAGTTCACCCACATCTGGGCTGGGCAAAATTCAGAATTCAATTCAATTCAATGGACGAATTTGAATGTTAATTGGCTCCACCCCACAGGATGTTGAATTGAATTCCAGTTACAGGAAGTGGAGGTGAACTCACTGCAACTCAAAGAAACTCTTTTCTCATCCTATTTCACTGAGAATGAGACTTTTCACATTCATTTTTCTTCCAGATGGAAGTACAGAGACTAACATTAAGTATAAATTTCTCTTACGTTGTAAATCTTGACAATAAATCATTATTTCAAAGTAATAAAATGAAACATGTTTTTACAATATGAATGATGTTTTATCTGAGTAGGCTTTTAATGTGAAGTAAAAAAAAAAAAAAAACAATACTACACTTTACCATGCACCATAAGTATTGTGTACAGGAAATCTTTTCAATGATATTTGTATTGATTGATGTTGTAAATAGGTTTATATACTGTGAAGCACTGGGGTCAAAGTCAAGGTCCGGGGGACTGATCTGACCCACCACATCATTTTATGTGGCCCGCGAAAGCAAATCAAGCAGGTTTAGTTCCATGATACTTGCTAACGTCTGAAGCAAAATTTCAAATTGTCATATATAATCCAAAATAACATATGATATTGCAAGCATTTTCTCATTACCAAACCCCTTATTACCGGTACATTGATGTAAATAATGTAAGTCAGTATTCTTGACTTCTGATTTTAAAACTAGTTCTCCATCAATTTGTTATGTGCTGTGTATGTAATATGGGGAGGTGATTAAACATTTATATGGTTTCACAAAATTCACCATCATAATGGCCCTCCAAGGGAAACCGTAACTACAATGTGGCCTGCAACAAAAATGAGTTTGACACCCCTGCTGTAAAGCTTCATTAAATACATTCATTAAATACACTCCAATTCTGCATCATGAATTTCTATACCGCTTCCTACAATTTAAATTTCAATTGGATTTCCATTTAACGTTTGCCTACTCAATTCAAATTCGAGAACTGAATTGGAATTTTGGGGTCGTTCTCATTTCAGCGCTGAATTTCGTACAGCCCTGAGCGACACCCATGATCTCATGTTAACAAGCAGTTTCACACATAGGCGTTTCTTCCAAACTGCCTGGATGGCTCCAGAAATTCTCTGTGGAGGCTGCTCGTGGCCTTGCCGCGCTCGTCATCCGGGTTCACAAACACAGCAGCGGCCCTTGAGGATTGATGGCCTCTGCAAACACCAGGTGGAAGGAAGTGAAGACAACTCTTTTAACAAAAGACACCAGGCTGTTTGAAACACTAATTAATGCAAGCTAATGGTGATGCTCATTCATGGAAAATGATGTATTTATCCATCCAATTTCTATACCACTTATCCTCAATATGGTCACGGGTGTGCTGAAGCCTACCCCAGACTTGAGTTGGGCAAGAGGGGGGCATACCGGTCCCTACACTAGTCACCAGCCAATCACAGGGAAATTATGTTATGTTTTTTTTTCTGTAAATGTTGTGTTTTTCAAAGTCTTCAAATTTCCCCTTCATGTCCATTTTTTTTTCATTGCTTGTATTTTGTCTTTTTTTTCCGATTTTAGCTTGCTGGTTTTTACATTCAAGTTTCTTTTTATCACTTTCATCTTGATGACAGTGTTTTGGCTCCGTTAAGGGATAACAGAGATTCCAATAAATTCCTAAAGTCCGGCTCAACCAATTTGGGCCCCAAAAGTTTATGTAGGACTTCTTTGATTAGAAAAAAAACATTGGCAAACATGGCCGCTAAACACTATTAAAGGGTGTGAAAGCAGGATTTAGAGGCTAATGTGTGTCGGAGAACTGTTGCTGACTGAGGCCCATTGTCAACTTGCCTGACGCTCGAGCTCTCTGAAAGTGAGAGACAGAAAATCAAACCTCCCAAAATGGATAACACGGATCCAGCCCAGCCGATGAAGAGCGCCGCTCCCAGTTCAAACCTGCCATGGACATCAAACCCCTGAAATTCACTGTGGGACTTCATACATGTCACCCCGGCTGTCGTTACCTACTTCTGTGCAACAAAGAGGGGGTCGAAGAAGTCGCTGGTGATCCTGTGAGCGTATATGGAGCAGGCGGTCATGCAGCACAATCCTGTGGAGGCAAATGAAGATGTAATCCTGTGACTTCAAATCGGTATTAGAGGCCAAAATTCCACTCTCAGCTTTGGGGAGTAAATTTTACCGCTGAGGATGTACTGAAAACCTGCAAGGACTGCCAGGCGAGTTTTGGATGTCTCGGAACCTCCTACTTTTGTGCACTTCATTCCAAGCAGGGAAAGTATGGCTCCAAAGAAACCCAGACACACCGCAGCAATCATCAGGCCCCGACATACTTGGATGTACGCTTGATAACAAGGACAGAGGAGCAGGAAGAGTAATGACAGGCTATGGATGACCATGGTGTTGGGGGCCGGGGGCGGTCAAGCTTCAGCTCCTTGTCATCAGGTGAAGGAGAAAATCACTTTCAAACCCTCTTGATCTGAAGCTTCTCTTTAAAGGCTTCGGCAGAATATGAACTCAACTCACCATCCAGAGCCAGCATAGAGGGAAAGTCCTTGCAGTTGGACACGCCTGTGGAGTCGGTCACACATGTTTTCCACAGGTTAGACCAGAAGGTAGCCGTAGTGATGACCGTCCCATCCACTGAGGAGACCTTCCAGTAGTCTGTAGGAAGTGTGGATGACACCAGGATCCACCCGGAGACACTCAGGAGAAACGCAGAAATCTCTGTTGATGTGGTGCTCATTGTTCCTTTTGGGCTTTGGATGTGTGGATCAAATCAGGCCTGGCAAGGCTCTTGCTGATGTGACACCTTTGTGTTCTCCTGCAGAAATGACTGAGGAGCTCTGGGCGGGTTGGTCTAGCACCTCCGCGCCAAGGCTGGCAACACTTGATGTGGAATTACTTGAGGCCCTCTTGAGGTTGGCTGACATTCAATAAGCAGTTTGATGTTATTGGACTACTCCCGCAGGGGTGGGCAAACTTTTTAGCTCGGGGGCCACATTGATTTCTAAATTTGACAGGTGGGCCGGGGTCAGCACAAGATATGGTATATATAAAAAAACGTTTATGTTTACAGTCCATACCAAACATCAACAGAACAAAAGCATTCAAGTATTACCATACTTTTTTTCATGAGAACAGTGAGATAACTATGGTATATGTCCTGTATGAACGTCCAAGTACGGTATGTTAACAACATACATTGGTGACAACACAAGCAACAAAGTGCAACAATATATTGCCCAAAAACTGCGGCATACAGTACAGGTACAGTACATGAGAAAATATAACAAAGGTAGGACTATTTGCTCCAAAATGAGACGAGTAAAAGACCTGGTGGCTTTCTTTCCACTCACTCACGGTCTCGAACTCGACCTCCCCTCGATCACCACACAAGAGAGCGTTGCTCAGCTGATGTCGTGCTTCGAACTTTTCAAGCCAGCCACAGGACGCTCCGAAGTATTCAATGCCCATAGTTAGCGTTATGGAACTCGCTTTCTCTCTTATTAGCAGTCCAGTTTGCGGAAAGTTTTTAGCACGATAACAGTCAAGCCATTTCAGGAAACGTTCATTTCCTTGACTGTCGTACTTCGTAACCCGCTTCGTTTAATGAGATACACTTCATTTTCTCTTCCGCGGCCATTACCGCTCCTCTTTGTTCGGATGCCATACTCTAATATAGGATGTTCGCAATTCCAGTAAAACTCACTGCAACAAAGAGTCGCCTGCATGTCGCCGTTTTGGATCCAATGACAGAAAATAGCGGTGCGGATACATGTATTTCGTCGTATCGAGCGGGACTTACTTGAGTTAGTGCTACTGCGGGCTTCCGTATCGTCTCCCCCTCCCTCCCTGTGCTCTGCGACTTCAAGTAACTGCGCCACCTGGCGTTTAAATGCCTGTATTACAAGTCCAAATGAAATGAATGCAATAATTTACATCGAACCTTAATTGTGTACTGTACCAACCATCGGCGGGCCGGATTAAAAAGACCAACGGGCCGGATCCGGCCCGCGGGCCGTAGTTTGCCCATATCTGGTTCACTACTGGCATGCACACAGCTCATCACTCCACACACATTCATGGGGTCTGCAAGGTACAAGGAAGTTTTTAATTGACAGGATGCGAGGGGTCCCTGACAGAGAAGGAACATGTGATGGGCAAGACAGATAGCATAGACATGGCTTGTGCCTGGAATGGCTTGCTTTCAGGTTAGATAAAATAAGATAAGATAAGATAAGATAAGAAATACTTTATTACTCTCGCAATGGAGAAATTCCCAAATAGTAACCAATCCACTGCTTCCCATCTGTTATCATAGTAGCAGTAGAGGGATTAGGATGCTCTGCACTCAGTTGGCAACACTGTCGCGCCAATCTGCAAAAATGTCATGGAGGCCACTGGATCTGGAACTGAAAAAGATTAATTTCAGTTTTAATACTGAATGTATGGTGTTAAGATATGATTCCTCTCTGTTAGCTGGATTTGAAAGAAACAACGTAGAATGCTGTTGAAGGTATTTCCTGCTTACTGTGATTACAATCACCTTTGGTAACCCCTCACCCCCACTACTTTTATGACCCCTCCAGAGGACATGTCAACATCAAAAGAGGAACTGTTATCTCAAGTATCTGTGTTGCAGCTATTGAGGGACTGCGCTTTGCTATGAGTACTATTGATCTCAGTTTCTTTCCTGAACATTTGTTTGCACACTTAAAACAACGTATGTGGTGTTAAAGTTTATCTTCTTCCTCCTTGGTTGATTAACGGCCCCCCAAGTGTCTTCTGTTGTGCCCCCGCACCTTGGGTCGGTCCCTGATCGCTGTTAAGCCCCCCTGGGAAGACCTCTTATCTCAGGATGTATGCACAGCGGGGGTTCTGGAACTTGCCATCACACCAAATGGTGGGTAGTGGTCGTTTGGTCTCACCTCACCACTCCCACCTTCTTCCAGCCACACCGGGTCAGATGTCATGTTACTTTCTTTGTTTCCGGGATTTGCATGAGTACCTAACCGCCTCTCATTATCATATTGTCTCTATATAATCTTATGAATGTGTTTCTTCTAGGCTTCCTGATTCAAATCTGGACCCCTCAGGAGCCCGAATCGATTCGTAAACTGCAGAAAATAAATTAAAACCCTTCGAAGGAACTGTTCATCGCCTCCAGCCTTTATTTGGTTAACCAACATCCTCATCATCCGAAATTCAACGAACACGTGAGGAAGAGAAAGGCCGCTCTTCCCCCAACAATGCTCATGCAAATTTTTGTCATGATATGTGTTCCTGGTTTCTTTCTGTCTGTCAGTTCATTGCTTCTGTTTCTGTTGCCAGCGGTCACATTTCCCAGTCACGTCTGGTTCCTTTTTGTTCTGAAGTTGTTCCCGGATTTGGTTGGTTACTTTGAATCTTGTTTTATTAAACTTTGTTAATTTTGTATTTTACCTTCTTTTCCTTTTTGTGAGTAAATACTTTTTGAGATTTCTCCTGGTCCCCAGTCTTGCCTCCCTGCTTCACTGAACAGGGGTTCACCTTTGGCTTTCCAACACCACAAAAAACTTCTCTGTTCAATGACAAACAGTACTAATTGTTGAAGTCTAGGTCCATGTGTGTTATTTCAATTTTTATTTCAAAAGAAACATTAGATTAAAAAAAAATGCAATGTAAACTGGTCGTGATTCTTTGTGCAGCGACGCAAGGGTGGAATGAAGTGAGGCTCAATTCAGGGACATGCACTTATGGTTAGGCAGGTGAGGCACTGCCGCCCCCTGCTGGCCGTTCTCGACAAGTAAAGTATATGGTACATCCATCCATCCATTTTCCGCTCCGCTTTGTTCCTACAAGGGATGCTGGAGCCTAACCCAGCTGTCTTAGGGCAGTAGGTGGGGGACACCCTGAACCGTTTGCTGGCCAATCGCAGGGCACACACAGAACAACAACCATCCACGCACACACTCACACTTAGGGACAATTTAGAGTGTTCCATTAACCTGCCATGCATGTTTTTGGAATGTGGGAGGAAACCGGAATACCCGGAGAAAACCCACAAGGCACGGGGGGAACATGCAAACTCCACACAGGTAGATCATGGCCCAGAATCGAACCCTGCACTGCTGCCCTGTGAGGCCGGCGTGCTAAACACTCGACTACCCGGCCGCCTGTATATGGTCCAGTAATTGGCAATTATTTCTTAATTAAAATAGCTGAATGTGCTTATTTTCTATTCAAATACATGGGCAGGAAGTAAAGTGAAGCCTTGCGTGTTCTTTGTGGTGTTTTACGTTGTTTTCTTTATTATTTCTCTATGGTGAAAATGCCACTGTGTGTGGCATACAATGGTACCAATAAGTCAGGGAGGAGCACTAAAGACACATTTCATTGGTAAAAATGCTATTTTTAATTTGCTCTTAAGGTACTGTACCTATATCTCTGAGTGGTCTATTGATCGTCCATTTATATAACCTGTACGCCCAGAAAATACCTTCCCTCTGCTTGCACGTGGCATTGCCGCAATCCATAGAAGAAGCCCATAGATCATACATAAACCAAAAGAGCAAGCCTTGGCTGTTTGTGGACTTGCCAACTCCAGTAAATTTTTTCATAACTTGTTGAATTCTTTACCGATTTTGACTCAGATTGGTTTGTTCGAAAAATAAAAGACACGCATTTATGAAACGAGACACGTAGGTGATTTTATAATTGGGGCTTTCAGAACATATTGAATATAAAGGGACGAGCAAATGCTTTTATTTTTATTTTTTTGTTTAAAGAGAGCTTTGCAAAAAAAAAAAAAAAACAATGAACTTGACCTTATATTAACTATTCTTTAGTTTTTTTGCATCACATTGTTGAACATTTGGAAATGATAGAAGCTTAATTAAAAGCTTTGCACACAAATATTCCAGAATTCAACTTTGACCTTATTTAAAACATATGTTTCAATGAAAGTCAAAATTTAAATATAGGATAATCTTTACGTTTGGGTTCATATTTTTACATTTGACTCCAGAGGAGTAGAGCCTCACCAGCCATGAACCTTTCTTTCACTGGTTCTATTCAAACTTTGTTAGCAGCTTCCAGACTGTAAACTCTACCTTTCACATTCAAATTGATAAAAGTTATTGTTTTTCGAATGTTTTTCAGGCTTCAAATTCAAAATGAGAGGAGCTATTTTTAAAAAAACGAGTTGATATTTTTGAACCTGAAAGATGTTGTATTTGTAGTGTATTACATTGTGTGTAGGTTGAAAAGTATTTGCAAATAATTGTATTCTGTTTTCATTTATATTTTCACAACTTCCAAACGTCTTTGCAATTGGGGTTTGTATTAAAAAAAAAAAAAAAAAATCTTATTCCGATTGCATCTTCTCAAAATTGAATTATGGATGCATTTCTAACCCCCCAAAGGTGGTAAGCTACTTAAAGGTTGAGCTCATAAATAATTTACATGAAGTGAGTTACCCTTGGCATTTCAAGTATGAATATTGTGTACTGTGTTTTGTTCCACACTCTAAATCTGCTGCTGAACCCACCTCACCTAATTCGACAAGGCCATAAAACTTTTCTGGCATTCTAGGACAAGAAATTCCAAGTGGGTTGCAGCAGGACGCATCAGCAGAAAGCTGCTCATTAGCTGAAGCCGTGGTGCCAACAAATAAAGTAAGCGGAAATTCCCCATCCAATAAACTTTAAATGAAAGGGACTCAGTAGGAGCAGTCACTGACCTTTGCTAACATTTTAAGGGGGGTATCCTGAATAATATTGCATTTGTGGAACATGCAGTGAGTGACAAAATCCACCCATTTGAATCCATCCCATTTTGCAACTTTGTTGACTGAAAATGGCATCACAGTTGCTTGGGGCTCATGTACTTGCCCTTCAATGGAGTCCGATACACATTGTAACTTTAACTCATTTCTGCTACAGTCTCAGTTGTAATATCAGAGATTGATCGGTGAC